GATTAACTTAAATATTGAATATTTAACTAAGAAAAATCTAAAGCGTTAGAAAGTTTAATAACAAAAAAGCTGCTGCAAAACGGATTTCACATTCTAGGATTATTGAAATAGATATATTTTCATTAATTCATACTTACAATACGCCCGAGTAATCCGAGTGATCTCAGATTCGAAATTCAATACTAATCCGATATTAGGTATGCGCCGATTTTATGTACAATCACCTCATATTTTATTAAAATATTTAAGTATTAAACGAAAATTATTAATTTTATCAATTTGAACAATTACTGTAGATAAAATTTGACCCTGAGTGAAGAATTTACTTTACTTTTCAATATATTAAGCTGACATTTTTTAATGACTTTCATCGGAACAATTTTCATCCATTTCTCAATAAAACTTCGATTTTTAATTACCAATTCATAAAATAAATGCCATAAGAGCTGTTCAGCTTTATTTTCAAAAAATGACATTACAAACTTTGTTAGTATTTAGAATAAACAGGAATCTCTATAAAAGAAAGATAAGAATGTTTGAAAAGTGTGCCAAAAATGAAGCAATCCTTAAAAAGAGGAAGATAACGCCAAGATATATTATATATTATAAGTCATGAAGTCTGAAAATAATTAAATTTCTGTTGTTGACTCTACAAAAAAGTATTGTTTAAATTTCATTGACTAATTTTTATCAAGCATTCTTAAATTTATACTGTGACTTGTCATTAACGAAAATTAGCTGCAGTATTATTTTCTCTTTCTGTGAAATTCTTTTTGTGCATTTACTAATTTCAGAAATCCTACGTGAACTTATAATAATAATTTCAATTATAATGACGATAGTATAGTTAATCTTGAGCCGTAGAGCTCAAACTTTTACATACAGTGCATTTGTATTAATAATAAGGGTGTATAAAATTTTAGAAAGGTAATTTTTCATCAGCGATTTGGTAGTGCAATATTGTTTCACTGTTCGACAAATAAAATGTACATTTGGCTCATGTTTCATTTTCTCTGACATGGTTTCGATTGGCCGTAAATGACTCATGAGATTTATATAATAAACAATTTCTTCAGACAAATCCTCGGTATTATTTTTGATAATATTTGTAGGATTTCTCGATCAAGAATCAGTGAGAATTAATTGTTTTCCTGGCATATATAAATTATTTCATAATCATAATGCATTAAATGCAAACGAATTTTTGAAAGTTTTGAAGTTGATTCATTCAATGGTTTTGTTTGCAAGCCCTGTCAAAGCGAGTACAAGTGCCTCTTTTTCAGACTGTTTATACCTTTTATCTCGATCTCTTAATGTTTTTGAAACATATGCAACAATATCTCGACTATTATCATTTTTCCATATTACTTCTGCATCTAAACCATATAACTTGAATCATCCGTTTGAATGATAATATTTATAGAGTAATTAAAATGTGCTCAAATTGAAGCTGTGTGATATAGTCTTTTACACGCCCGAAAGCTTTTTTTTAAGGGTCTTCCTAAATAAAAAGTAAATAATCTTTCATTAACACATTTAACGGCTCGAATACAATTGATCGACGAGGAATATATTTGCCTGTATATAGTTTACAGCAGCGAGAAATTGTATTACCGATTCTTTATTTGTTAGAATAGGAAAATTTTCGATGACCGGTACATGTTCAGCCAGGACTTTAATTTTAGCCTTGAATATTCGACGACCTAAAACAGTTATTACGCATCTAGACTGGAAAATGAATCATTACGTTCGCTTACAGGTTAGCGGCGAAGGTGGGTAAATACAAGCCAATTTGATGTTCTGCTTATCGGCCGAGATGTATATGGTAGTTTTCATCGTATTGCCACCGAAAATTAGTCATGACATGCCGAAAATCTGACCGGAACGACTTTCCTGACACTCGCGGTGCAAGGCGGCAATCGCCGATGCGACGCGCCATATTTGATACGCGAGGCGACGCCCGAACCGAGCGAAGGCGAAAGGCGCATGCGTGGCTGCACCTTAAATTAGTTGTCATGAACACGTTGGGTCGGCTGGGCTTCGACTCGCATATCAATATGGCGGTCGTGTCTGCACCTACCACCTTGAACTGCAAATGTCAGGAAAGTCACCCCAACCGAATTTTCGACATGTTGTGACTGATTTTCAGTGCGAATACGATGGAAATTCCATTTGGTCAACCGCAATAACGTTTGTTAGTTTTCTAAAAGGTAATTTAAGCTTTTTTCACGCTATCTAAAACAGTTTTGAACGTTTCATCGTCTTCTTTTCTTACTGTTAATAAGAATCCGTATATCATATATATGAACGCTTATATTAAGTAAACCAACAAATATTTCTAAATATTTTCCAAACATAATAGAAAAATAATCTGATGCATAGCTAATATACCATACGGTAATAATAGTTCGTATATGTATCTTTTAAATGGCGTATTAAAACAATAAAGTTGATTCCATCGTCAAACGTGATTTGATAACCGACATTAGTATCTAGTTTACAAAATATTTTTGATACTTCCAATCTTGACAAAACTATATCTATGGTCATGACTGGATCTACAGCGCGTTTAACATATTGGTTAAATTCATATAGTTAAATCAATGCAAAGACGAATCCCATATTTATATTTTTCTTTGGAACAACTACAAGAGGACTACATCAGTCAGTTGGAATGTTGATAAGTATAAGGACCCTTATTTTTTAAAACCTATCTGATTCTTTCTTTACATCAGATAACAATGGTGTCGCTACATGACACGGTATATCCGAAAAATAAGTTTAAAAAAAATCGAAAATAGTAATTTTCTGTTTGAAATGGCCAAGACCATCAGAAACCTCATCAAATTTTTATAGCAATTTAAAGTTTTCGAAATCACCAGCTTTTTGAAATTAAAAATTTCGCTAATTGATGCAAATTATTTTATCAATTTAGTTACGACATACATTTTTGATGCCACCTTTTTAGAATCTTTAAAAATAGTAACGTATAAGCTTTAACACGAAGTTTTTTACCTCTGAACCATAAATAATTTTATCTGAAGGTATGGTCCTGGATTTTATATTACTTAAAATATACTTATCGGAAATGCACGTGATAACTGCGCCTGTATAGATCATAAAATGTATGTCATTGGAAAATCCCATAATTTTTACATTAATCGAAAAATCATTTTATTTTTTATTTTTCTTTTATCCGTTTATCGAACTTTAAAAAGCATTACTTATCGATATCCGCGTCGGAAACTTGATCGTCTTTACTGTCTTCAATATGTTGAATTTTCTTTGATCTGCAAGCTCGATCACAATCCAATGACCTATTTTTTGACAATCAAGGCAAACTGACTTCAAAGCTGAATATTTTGTCATATCCTTGTGGCAACGAAGGGCAGATATAAAGTGTTGGTTCTTCTTTTAAAAGTCAAAATATCTCTTTTGATTAGTGTCATTATGTTTGAGATTATTTTCAGAAGCATTATTTTTCTTAATAATACGATTCACTTTATTATTTTAAATAAAATCTTTGTTCAAATGTTCTGAAAAACGTGTACTACGTGTTTTAGTTCAAATACTATCATAAATCAGTCCGTTTTTTATTGTACCGTACTTGTATAAATCGGCGAATGTATGTAACGCAGGTACAGATAAATCGATACCTGGCCGTTTTATTGCACTCTCAAATTCAACTTATATTATCCGTATAAGTTGAATTTGTATCCGTACTTATTTCAGGTGAAATATATAAATTGATCGAAATTCTCTCTCTCTCTTTTTCTTTCTCTCATTGTCTGACTTCCTAAATGATTTGTGAATGAAATGCATCTATAAAATCTAGTAAACGACGTAATCCACATCTTAGGTTTACTAAAATCGATAAGTTTGGTGGATAAATCTTTGACATGACAACAAAGGTTGACTTCGTGGAGGTTAATGGAAATGTGTTCTTAATTATATTGAAAAACTATGTATTTTTTATTTTTACTTAATTATTATTAACTTGATATATTTCATTTGATATACCATGTTGTAGTATAGATTTATTATTATATAATAAATACGGTACAATGATTATAAAAGACGATACAAGGTGTACAGTAGCATGAGCTTATAATGACGAGCTGAAACTGGCCTAATAAGTAGAAGTTAGTTGTATAATAACAAAGGCTGTCTCATTAGAACGCTCTATGTTAAGTACTCTTTACGCGACTATATATTCGCATTCTTATTCGGCTTTTCTTGCAATATTTATCATTACAATTGAAATTAAAGTGCTGCCATAGTTATGCCAAGAAACTTGATATCACAAATTTTTAAACTGACCTTTCAGTAACAATGTAAAAAATATTCTGACGTTCGTGCCGGATCATAAATAATATTTTCTTTCCCTGACATTATGTGGAAATAGGATTGGTATACTATTGCTCATAATATGTAAATATCGTCTTTCAATTAATGTATTATCGTATGCTGTGGCAAACTGCACGAGTTTTTAAGAATATTATTTCAATTTCCAAATTGAATTAACTGTATTAATATAGATTTTTCTTTACATACTCATAAACTTTTTCAACTATTTTATCTATGGCTCCAGAAATGATGTGATAGTTAAAAGACTTAAACCAATATATAGCGATACTAGCCCATAATTCTTTGTAATATTAACGAACAAAATATCGTAATTTTATTTAAGAGAAAATTTAAACTATATGTATTTATGTATAGTTTCAGTTAATGATATATCGTATAGTCCATAAAAATGTGATTTATTTATTTAAACAAATCCCATTGTTTGTCATTTATATGAAATAACAGTTTATAAGTTTGCTTATTTATATCCGGTTGCATTTTTGAGTGTATTTAATAATTAGAACCTTTTCGAAGATAAGAAATAACCTTTGTCATCAGCGAGTGTAAAATATTTTACTCACATCTGCGGCAATAAGAAGTACTTGAAATTATTACAAATATATTGACTAATTACAAGTCGTTTATGTTGCGTTTCAATTTTTATAAATATTGAACCACTGTGACAATAATGTGAATGGTTTTGGATTATCTGAACTACAATTTGTTTTCAGCAAATATATACCTTGGCGATATTTACTATAATTTTCCGCATGTATTCCCATCTCGGCGCAGGTCTCATTAGCTTTACAGTTATTTTGATCATGACAACTTAATTCTTTTTTCGCTATTTCTGACAATTGTTTAAAGTTTTCTATTTTCGTAGCAAAATATCTTTTATTTTTATGGAATGACTCAATAAAATATCGAGCTGACATTTGGTGATCGCATATCATATTACTGCCGTTGGATATTCTGTGAACTAAAATAGTATATAAATAATAACTACTGTTCTTGTCAATATTTATAAGTAGAAATAATATTTAAGCAATTGTTCATATTTACTAAAATTTAAAATGAGCTTATATTCATAATCGAATGTAGTAGCACTTTTGAAACAATCAATTAAATCGTCATCATAGATAATTTTTTCTCTAGGCTTGTTAATACAACTGGGCTGATGGTCTCCTCCATTTGGATAAAAATCAATGTGGCCTGAAGAAGAGATCAAAATTTATAAAACTTTAAATAGTCGTATTTATTACCTTAAATTTAATTCTAAAAATTCATTTTAAATCAAATCTCTTCTACATTTATGTTATAAAAAACAACGAGCAGTATCAGTGACGCTCACCCATGGGTTCGTAAAACCCAAATGTCGATTCATGTTCATCACTATTACTATGTATCACATCAACAAAGTTAGCACAATCTTTATTCAGTTTATAGGTTGCATTTTTTTCGTTATTCAAGATGGGTCTTGCTGGATCGAGCCCGGTAACTCGATCTACAAACCACGTGTCTTTTAACTTCAAAGCTGTTAAGCCAGCGATATGCGCGCCAAGACTGTGTCCTATTATGTGTAGAAATTTTGGTTTGCCATTTTTCTTAAATATTGTCCTTAACATGCTAAACATTTTTTATAGAAAATTAATGAAATAATAACTAAAGTAAATATAGTCGTGATAAATTTTTACGACATACTTAGCAGTTTTATTAGCCACTTCATCCACAGCTTTAGCAGCTGTAGAATAAATGATATTTTTGAACCATTGGACGACTATTACGTTTGTATCTTGATTCTAGAAACAATGAGAAATTTGTAATACCAATGAGTATGGATATCATAATATATTCGCAAATTACCTGAAATTTATGTAATTCTTTAACCATTGATGATATCCATGAAGTTGTGCGAACATTTAGGTATCCAGGAATGATTATAGTCGTTCTCTTTTCTGAATCAAAATTGACCTCATTTTTAAGGTTAATTTCTACCTCTTTTGGTTCAGTATATTTTCCTTCCGAGTTATTCACGTAAGCATAAAAATAAATACTCAACTCATTCTTATAGCAATCTGTTTCATAATTAGAAAATTACATTTAAAATTTATCTATTAGAAATAGTAAACATTTATTTGTTTGGTAGTATTTAATATAGTCAAATATAAGTATTAAATCTGACATTATTCTTTTAAAAAAAGCGGTTACCTACTTGAACTAAAAGGATAATTGGACAAACAGTATAGAAAATTCATTCCTTCCGTCAAACCACTACAGAGCACTTTTGAAATCTTCATTTCTTTTGATGCTTCGATATTATAACAACAAGCCATTATAATGGCCACACTTTGAAAATATTTGAAAGATTCCATTTTTTACGCTTAATCAAAATGATAACTTGCACATTTGCTGCTAACACTGATCGAAGTGGGAAATCTCATATATTCGTTCACATATATAACTCAAAAAATGATTTATGTCTGGGCACATATCACTTGTTTCATACCAACTTTTTAAAGTTAATGTATGCAGATTAAATATCCGAATTTCTTTTGTATTCGAATTATAGTTGATTCAAAGCTACTAGTAATAAATCTAGCTTTCAAATATTAAAATAGTTGAACTTTGGGTTCAAGAGTACATATCATAATGAACGAGAAAGATTTTTTTTAATTTCTAGTAAGTATTCTGAAAATCGCTTATAGACGATAATATAAATATTATAAAACGACAAATATAAGGAATATTCTAAGCAATATAGAACATGCCGTAGCAATAAATCAACAATTTATGATTCTCGGCAACCTGAAATATGAAGATTGATAATGAATGAAAATATTTGACAATTCAACTTCCAACTCTAATGGCGAAGGCAGCATACGATTACAAATAATTGATAATTAGAAAAATATATCCGACACTGAGACAAACAGCTGTCGTCATATTTGATATATTACACCTGTTCAGATATGATAAGACTTTTTTGTGATCGCAAAGTAAAGAATTTAGGGATAAGTTATTGTTAAAAGCTGATATCGAACATTCGAAGAATAGATACCACAGAGATATGGAAATTGAGGAGATCTTATCGGTTAATGATCCTGGGTAGTCTTCCATATTAACTAGTTTATATTTGTTTACAATAATTTAGGATTTTTTATATTGTCAGCAAATTGATAATGACTGTTTATTCTAAATCTGAAAGTAAGATGAAAGGTTTTATTAAATTTTTACAAAATTTAATAAATTATTTACTGCAAATTTAGCTATAATCTATAAAAATAAGTATAACACTTTTTTTATTATTGATTATTATCGCGTCTCATTATTTGTAAACGTTACGTATTCAAATATACAGGATTTACAAATATAAATAATGTAAGTAAACAATAAATTAAAAATTAGTATAATCACGATTTTATATTCTATTTTAATGATATTTGATCTAAAAAATATGATTTTGCTGGTCTTACCTCGATCCAATCATTTAAAAAAATTTGTAGAAGATTTAAGTGAACAATAAATGAGAATTAACGCATTAACGCCGAAAATTTTAAAAATTTTATATTGAAAGTGTTAGACAGTGGCAATAGTTCTATAGACACTTGCAATAATATTCCTATATATATTTGAGATTGCTCTAAAAGATTCCATGGTCAAAAATTGTTTTTATTTACAAAGAAATTCAATATGGCGTTATCAAAAAAAATGATAGAAAAAAAAATGTTCAAGACCAGATCATATCAAAATCATTCATTTTTACTCAAAAAAAATGTCACATCTTTGTGAAAACTTCGAAAACTTTCAAATATGGTTTTAAAATAAATTGAACATGGAAGTGTAAAAATGGCGGTTTTTCGTAATAAATTTTTGTTTGTTTATTATATATATATTAGTCAATATAAGTCACTGCTTCATTGTGCAAGGATGCTGTGCGTGGTGATTTTTTTTATATCGAAAATTAAAATTACAAATCTGATGCCAAATTTGCAAAATTGACTATTACAAAGTTGTTCAAGCAAATTATTGTAAAATTGAACATTTATACAAGACACGTATACTTTAAATAGTTTTTGTGTTAATTATTATAATAATATTAATAATTGCAGTAAGGTGCTCGAACATAAAAAAAAACACACTTAATGACGAGTAATTAAAAAAAACCGTCAAAATCGAGTGAAAATGATAGCTTATAAAAAATTTATAGGAAAAAAAATCAGAAATATTCCACTCTGTGGCGCCAACGTAGCGGTAATGTTGCTCTATATTGTTAAATTTGATACCAATAAAAATACTATCTAAATAATACGCTATGTTGCGGGACTACATCGGCTCTAGCTACATAAGCGCGTATGCGAGCGTAACAAGCGTATGAGTGCGTTGTGTGTGGAATAGTTACTAAAAAATGTAGTGTAGCCAACTGTCGAATTTGGATAAACAATATCATTATTTATTCGGAGGTAGTCGCTATTAAAAGAAGAGAATACTCGAGATCATGAATAATAACACATAAGTTGAGGCTATGATTAAGTGTGGTGTAATCGTTTGCTCAAACTACTTTTGTTCATCCAAATTCGACAGTTGGCTGTACTACATTTTTGAGTAACTTTTCCGCATGTGACGCATTCATACGCCTGTGTATGTTTGACTATGTGCTTATGTAGCCAGTGCCATACAACTTCAGTGGGTCAATACAGTTTCGCACGAGGAAGTGAATGGTGACTGCATGTTTCACATTAGTGGAAAATTACTTCAGATAAGGATAGAACGAAAAATCAAAGGTCTATTATTCCGATTTTTACTTTCAATTACAATCGCTGCTACATTATTTTTTCTTTTTCATTCACATGTCAATGTCATATTTCATTACAAACTTTCCTTCCTTTTTTTACTTACAATATTACCTTTTACAGTTGCTGGCACATTTTAATATCTCGCGTTCCAATTTAAATATATTTATTTACATTCACTTAAATTCGCACATTTATAATTAACAATGTAAGTTTTAATGTACAGTAATTAAATACAACGAACATTCAACTTTGAGAGCCGTATAAGCATGTTGCAAATAAAATTGATATTAAAGACGAAAATAAAAATATAAATTAAACATTTATTTTTGAATTTTATGCGTGAGTGTTACAATAGTTATTTATATGTTTTAGCTGGGATAAGTGCAAATCATAGACATATAAAAGATAGTCTGCTGATGCCACGTTATGGAAATGTCTGCGAGAGTGATAGAGATAACAACAACTAGTGAGAAGCTTCTGTCTCTTTCTAGTCGACGTTTATTGGTCTCATGGGCTTCCATCACGCAAATAAACGTCGACTAGAAAGAGATAAAAGCTTTCCTCTATTTTTTGCTATCTCTCTCACTCTCGCAGACAATTCCATAACCTGGCAGTTTATCCTTTATATGAATATTGTGCAAATACAGCTGAGGTCGACCACCCCCAGATCAGCCCCGGAAAATAGTTAAAATAAAAAAAATAATTTTCAATAGAGTCGAATTTGCTCGGTTCGGCTATGTTGGCCAAAAAATTTGCCGAATTATATTTTCCAATAAAAAAATACCAATTTTTTTCTTCTTTGCTCGTCGCTCGCTGTTTCGGCCTGATACTGTCCCACGCACAAACATCTCCTCAGCCGTAATGGCCTTTGCACTGACCAAGGTCCATAACTTCAGTACATAACGGATAATATAAGGACCAAAACAGTGAGAGAAGCTGCCTTCGCTTTCTACCACCCCACCCACAAACATATCCTTAGTCGTAATGGCCCTTGTCCCGGCCAAGATACATACTTATTCCAGTTCAACTTGTACCTCAATTGTCCACCATCTTGAGCTATGGCTGCAATAGCTTTATAATAGGAAAAGCGAGCGACGCTGCCAGCGGAGTCACGGTCTACCGGTAATTAAAAACGGCTATAATTAGCGCAACCATTAATTTAAATCTATCCGCAAGGATAACGTTTTGATACACTAAGGTGGAAGCTCGTGGAAGTGAGTAATGAAACTCGGAAAGGGCGATAGACGGCTGGCAGAGACGATAGGGCATCCTGCGTTTAGTTGTCCCCTCGAGTGACGATTTTGAGACAAGTTGTATAAACTCGAGAAGCAGTGAGGACAGTTAGGATAGAAAATCCATGTCTGGGACTGAAATATACGCTTGGTTGAAAATTCGGTGACGCTAATTTGGATGAAGAAATATATCGCTCTAATATAGAAAGATCTTCTCTTCCAAGCCTGAACTTGCGACTCTTTGATGTGAAAGGCAGCAGAATGATTTCTGAGAGAGTGCCTGGCAATAATGTCTTACTCTATGCCGGAAAGACGAGCCGTTGCATACTATAATAGATTAGCCATGGCGAGGCTTCGCACAGATGAGCAAGTAAGGCCCTTCAGTTTCAGCTGGGCACAAGCGTTCTGTGCTGTGTGCAGCGACGCCAGTCTTATAAAGATCCATAAACAGAATCGAAGTATGAGCTAAATGCGAAACGACTGCGGTTTCTAGTAGGTTATTCTTCATCCTAAAGGAGAGTGACTTCTTATAGAATTAGAGTTAGTTAAGAAAACGATGGATCTTTCGAATAACTTTGACCCAGTGCTGTTTACCACGGCACTAACTTCACATCCCTTACAGTAACAGGTTCAAATGTGAAAGGTGGACATCGACTGATCCCTGATCTGAAGGAAATTCTCCTTCATGAGAGGGAACGTCACATTAACCACTGTCATGTAGTATGTAATTTTTCTAAGTCAGATTCCCTCCTAGAGCTCTAGTAAAAGAAGAAATGGAAGGGAGAGAGAGAGAGTGTGTGTGTGTGTGTGTGTGAGTGAGTGCAGCATTTACAGCGTTGTAACGAAAGAAGTCGAAAGAGCATCTCGAGAGATGAAACGAGAAAAAGTCCTTTGCGTTTGTCGAGACATCAACAGCACAACGCGCGAGAGAGCAATTAGAAAAACCGTCGGCGATCAAGTGTACCGGCGACAAAGCAACGCCGACTGCGCACGAGAGAAAAACTAAAGAGGCTAGCTAGCATGAGAAACACACTCAAAGGACCAAGTAAAACGGGATAGGCGAAAAAAAAGAAAGCTTCTTGGATTACACAGTGAATATGGTAAATAAGGTTTGAGAAAGGGCTGCGAACGCGCGCGGTAAGAGCATCAAGAGAGCGAAAGTGAGGGCCGCGCGTACGCAGTGGCAAAAAAAGGGAGCCTAAGGAAGCTTGAGTGTCGGGTAACCCTCGAAGTAAAATGCGCGAAACTTGCACACACGCACGCCGAGAGTAGAAAATTCCGAGCTAAGAGAGGCTGTTCCCCCTCCCC